AAGTATTAAAAAATACCAATGACAGTAAACACTTCTGTCAACAGAACCAATCTGAGTTTATCTCCAATTATCAAAAGTACACACTTTTCTTACCAATATGCATCTCTCCCCTAATTGTGTTACTCAATTTATTTTCAAGGTAAAACTGTGGACATCTATGAACAATACTGCCTATCATAAATCATCCAAGAAAAACACTGTTTTTAAAAGTCTATCAGATAGCATATGCAATGTTTTAGAACAGTAGAACAAAGTGAAACTAATTTAAATGCCCATAAATCACTACTTGTCTTAGTAAATATTAATATATTATACTAACAAGTGAAGAAGAGTGCAGAGAGTCAGAAAGAAGATACAAAACAGCAAAAGCATTATAAAAGAAAATTCAAATAACTTATTGAACATAATGTGTAGATCCAGAACGACTGCTTCTTAAATTTTTTATTTGGTCTTACACCAATATTAATAACAATTTGGAGAGAAAAAAATCATGTTCCTTTAGTATACACATAAGTAGTATGTCAGTAGTGTTAAAGGAATAGCTGTGAGACACCCATATTCAATAAAGATGTTTGCTGTTAGGTTTTATAAACAGTCATATGAAGATATCTATAGATAAGGGCATTATTAAAAGTGATAGAAAAAATCCTGAATTAAAAGATTACAAACTATAAGATTCTATTATACTACATCTGGAAAAGGCAAAAATGTGTGGGCAGAAATAGAAGGTCAGTGGTTACCATGGGCTAACTTGTGACTAAGAAGGGTTTAACTACAAGGACAAAAGGGAAGTATTGAGGATGATGGAAATTTTTCATAGCTTAATTGTAGTGGTAGTTTCACAGCTGTATATGTTTGTCAAATACACATGGATTCACTGAAAAGGGTAAGTCTTACCATATGTAAATTATACTTTAATTGATCTGAAGTGAAATAAAAAGATATCCTTTTGAGAATGTCAAAAAACAACTGTAGATTTTTTTTTTTAGAATTATGTGGGTCTATGATTTATTTTAAAATCATAAGTTTTCAGCCTATTTTTAACTCATCAAATCATTATTCAGAAATTCAAAGTTTATATTCAAAATAGCTGATTTTCATTCAACCCTAAGGCTAATGCATATAAAAATTATATAAAAGAAAGGGAGACTATTCCAACTTTTTATTACCTTTGGTTTTGAGTCTGTTGATAGGAAAGCTAAACAAACGAACAGCAAATTGGCCTTGCCAAGCTATAAATATTACAAAAACATCAATAAAACCTTAACATAAATAAAGCCAGAAAAAAATGCTTGCAGCTAGAGAAAAAAATATATGCAATATGAAATTCTGCTCCTCAGTGGCTAAAGGCATCCATTTAAGATAGAAATTTAACAATGGAGGCAAGACTCTACATGAAGGGAGATGAACACTGGCTGATTAAACAGGGAGCTCATAGCTTGACAACTGCTCAAAGTCTAACTTGACTTGAAAAGGCTGCAGGCTACTTCATCTGAGGCAATCTGGCTGGTTTGTCAATGGTCATTAACTCTCCTTCATCATGAGATACTCCAAAAAGGAGACAGCCACACTGAATAACTGAATATATCTTTATAAACATCTTCTCAGAGTTCCTAAGGTTAAGTAATAAATATATTCTAATTAACTACAATATCAGCAAAAGACACAATATTAATATACTTAAACCTATAAGTAAGTATATATGTATAATCAGAGGTATTATTAAAAATGACCAAGAGATTAAGTAATTACCTAAGATCTAGTAGGAATTAAAATCAAGTCCTGTATCCTAATTGTAGGTGTCCATACAGGAAAATCACTAATTCTCTTCTATGAACTCCAAAATGTATGAATTTTACATATTTCAACTTACCCATGCCAGTAAATATATAAACTAACTCATGATATCTTAAATGAATGGTTCAGCAATTTACTGTTTCACAATTGCAAAAATAATTTAATATATTTTTTTCTTGGGTCTGGCAAGAAAATGGGAAGATGAATTAAAGATGATTAGCATACACACACAGAGCTAGATAATATTTAATTTTTGTTGAATTTCATCTTTTTAAATTACAATTTCCACAAATTTTGTGCCTGGGGCATGAGTACCAAAGTGAAAATATTAATAGAAAGCACATAAAATAGAAACAGCTGTAGCTATTAAATAAGTAAGGTCCCTTAGGAAAAGTCAATACACAGAAATATAAGCTCATCCCCTGGTTTGCTACAAGCTGACTCTGGGAATCTAAAGGGGAATATAAGTTATAGAGACTCAGCCTCGTGGTTGGATGCCCTCTACAAATGAGGCTATTAATTCTTGGGCTGGAGTGTCTCCTTCTGTCTTACAGATTTTTAATGCATGTTAGGTTGATGACCCAAAATGTGTATTATTATTATTCCTTTTGGCTAGTGTGCAGCATTTTGCATTTTTTGAAACACATCTATGACCTCTTTTTGTTTCAAGCTTAAAAAAAAAGTACTCTTTAAAATGGTATGAAGCATGACACATAGCTTTAGGACAACAATATTTCCTTGAAATTAAGCTGCACTAAGCAAGCATCATGTTCCTTGTCTTTTATATTCCAAATTTCTACAAGGGAATTCCAAAATGGTAACAAGCTGTGACAAGCATCCTAATTGTTGCTCCCCACTTGTGTTTGTTAGCTGCCATGAGGAAGGATCTCTAAGACAGGAAGATAAAACGAATAGGAACATTGATATCAAACCTGGATATCACATTGGTGTCAGATCAAAGCTGAGACAGTTAAACAACAGAACAGTATAATCTTTGGTTAACCTCTATTTGATTTTCATAAATGGAATTTCATCTGACGCATCAAATTGAAACTGAGATTGCGAAGTGAACTTGTATATTAAGATGTGTCCAAATCAATTGTTGTCATGAGTTACTGGCTTTTAATCTCGGCTTTTACGACATGAGTCAACACATGATTAAACTGGGTTATAATTAGTGGGAAAATTTTTGAGTGTAGATTTTTCCTTCATATGAGACATGCCCAGAGCACATAGGAAAACATTGCTATAAGATAAGCAGCAAGTAAGGGCAAGTGAGTAATGTAATATGCATTCAGTGGTAAAAACAAAGCATCAAAGATCTATGTAATTCCTTGTATGCCACTTTACAAATACATCGTTTTATCACAAAAGATGTGTGTGCTTTGGGTCCAGACCAAATCACATAAGTCAACTACAATTTTCAAAATTAAAGGATAACTTATCAATAATTCAAAAGAAAATTCTCTCTGACAAAATTACAGTACAAAGGGAGCAAAGAAGTCTGAGAGGAACAAAATTTAACTCAAGATACAAATTTTTTTTCTTTAAAGATTATAGTTAAAATTTGTATTGTCTGATTATTTTCAATAAAACTAGAACTTTTATAAAACTTATGAAATATAAAAATTTTTATACAGAGTTCAGTTTCCCATATTAGAAGGTAATAACTTAAACAAAATTATATCCTTGAATTCAATGAAGTTTCTAGCAAATTAAAACTACATTAATAATTCACCACACTCCAATCAGAATGGCAATTATCAAGAATACAAGTAACAATAAATGTTGGCAAGGATGTGGGGATAAAGGTACACTCATACATTGTTGGTGGGACTGCAGATTGGTGCAACCACTCTGGAAAGCAGTATGGAGATTCCTCAGAAAACTTGGAATGGAACCACCATTTGATGCAGCTATTCCACTCCTCCATATATTAAAAGCAACATACTACAGTGACACAGCCATATTGATGTTTACAGCAGCTCAGTTTACAATGGTTAACCTATGGAGCCAACCTAGTGCCCTTCATCAGATGAATGGATGAAGAAAGTGTGGTATGTATACATAATGGAGTATTACCCAGCCATAAAGTAAAAGGACTATGCTATTTGGATCTGGAGACAATCACGCTAAATGAAATAAGCCAGTTCCATAAAACCAATGATTGAATGTTTTCACTGATATGTGGAGGCTAACATACAATAAGCAGAGAAAGAGGAAGAATATATATTCAGTAGATTAGACAAAGAGGAATGAATGGAAGAGAAGGGAATAGAAAAAGGAAAGACAGTGGAATAAATCCAAAATAATTTTCTGATGTACACATATGACTATACCATAGTGAATCCCACCATCATGTACATCCATAAGAATGGGGTTCTAATTATGATAGATACATTACATGCTTATATAATTATATCCCAGTGGATTCTACTATCATGTATAACTAATAAGAAACTATAAAAAATAAATAAATAAAACTACTTCCTCTCATGAAAATGGGAGAAAATATATTTTTTCCTTTGGGTAAGGATAAGTAACAAACACAGATGGCCTGTAATTTTTCTCACCCCAGTTTTAAAAGTTCAGGTTTGTGTTGCTGCTGCTGCTGGTGGTGGTAGTGACAGTGGTAGTAGTGGTAGTGGTGGTGGTGGTGGTGGTGTATGTGTGCAGTTGAGCACAATGCCTATGCCCCCGTACAATAACCTTGAATAAAGATGTCTTTACTAGTTAAAGATAAATAAGTGAAATGAAATAAAATACATTTAAGAAATGTAAATACTTGTATGCCACTTTACTAAATTATACTTTTCTTTATAATAAATTATAATCATTAATATGTTTCTGATATTTATAGAAAATCAAATTTATATTTTATAAAAATATTTATCACATATCTATGCACTTGCATATCGAGTATATATCATGCATGAGTGGAGATATTTAGCAATGATTATTTATCAACCTACCTGTGTATTTTTTTCTATACACAGAGTCAATAAATTTAGAGTGGAATGTCTTCATGTCTTGCCCAGATATTTAATAGAACAAATTTTAAAATGTATGTATATATATATATATATATATATATATATATATATATATATAAATTGTAATATATAAATATATATATATTTTTTTTCTGATTAGAGTCTTAAAAATATCTGTAAATATCAACTCAGAGACTTTTAGGCACTAGCTCAAATCAGATTGTTTCTCTGGCTCTGATCATTCTCCTAAGAGCTTAGGACATTAAGATATCATACCAGTGCTAATCATGCACAGCCCTGAACTTATTTCAAGTGTCACCTGTATTTTTTCTGTGCTCCCTGTACCCTTGATGGAACTAACACATCCCAAATTACTCTGGCTCCACATCTTAATGTCCTGCTTCTTCACATCATCAAACAATCTGTTGTTGTGTCTTTTTGCAACTGGGTCTTCCTTTTTTTTCGTTCTTGTTATTCCGATTTTAAATCAAAAATGCTACTTTGTCCACTTCCAGCCAGTGGGTCCTTCCCCTTCCCAGCAATCATTCACATTAATGCCAAGCAAATAAACTTAAGGAGAGCTATGCTGCTCTAAACAGCTATTGTAATGTCTTTACTGATTTCTCAGAGCACTATGCCCCAACTTACTTCCTTTCTTCCTTCCTTTTGACAAACTGAAATGAAATTTATCCCTGGAGCCCAGTTCTTATAGTTTTAATCTGTCTCCATATTTAAGTCATATTTCTATAGGTGAAATTCTAGGTTCTCCATAGCCTCTTGCCTGATGCTCTCTCCACCCCACAGTACAGGATCATCATAATCCTATCCTCCTCTAGTGGTCCTCTCTTGGTCAACATCATGTTGCATTCTTTTCCTGTCTTTCTTATTGAGGGAGTATAGAATGGAGGGTGGTTGCTTTTTTCTTATCTTCATATTCCTCACAATGTCTACAAGGTTATTTTAACTTGCGTACGCAAAATTAATTTTGAACAGATGATTGAATAGTGACTTTTACATTCCTATTTCTATCTATAGTATGTAGTTAACTTAATGTCATATAAAAAAGAAGTTACATTTGTGTGAGCAAAGTAAGCATCAAATAATGTTTCCATAGTCAGATTTTTATGAGATTAAAAGAGATTCAAAGTACAAATAGGGAAAGGAAGCCATTTTTATTAATTTGTGATTTCAACAAATTCTTTGTGCTGTGTAGAAAGATATGGAGAACAGATGATCAATGGTAGAAATGACTTGTCGGTGACTTGTGCTATTAGAAAAGCTGATGACAAGCTGAAAAATATTTAAGGTCAATCAACTTGCTACCAAAATATCGGTCCCTCTGGAAGCAAAGAATAGCTTTCACAGAGTGAAAAAGTTGTAAAAATCCATTCCTTGGCAATAATGTGGCTATTTCATGTACACATAGTATTTATGTTTTTGTGTTCCTACAACATTTATTTGCCAATTTGTTGTCCTGAATATAATTTCTATATGCCTAATGATGTTTCAAAATGTTTATGAAATTTTAGATGTGTATGTGTGATAAAAACATACTCCAAAGCACAATTTCTAAATTTTATAAAAGTTGAGAACACTGGAATCTTTTCAAATCTTGTGATGTTTTCTTTATTGGAGCTACAAAAACTAGCATATACTGTTTTGCTGTTGTCTGTAAGATGCCAACTCATTGCACATTGGAAATCTAAGGGTTAACCTTCCTGGTGGCCTTTGAACTAGAACACTCTATGAAGAGTTAGTCAAAATGTATAACCCTTACTTAAATGCCACTAATATTTAAATACATCTGTAAGTGAAGCTTCCTGCTGTTCCATTTAACACTTCAGCAAAAGGCTAATGAACTGCAGAGAGCTTTGTGCTTCTCTTCTTAACTTGTATTCTATGTTTAATAGAATGCCTTCTTTTAAATTATAGCAGCAACCCTCTGCAAGTTGAGGTCAGAAAATATGTGTATAGTTAGCTAACTTTTAAACTTAAAAATAATGGCTTAAATAATTGGGTGCAGAACAAGTGCTCCATAATCATTGCAGAAATGTGAACTGGGTGTGGTTCTGTGGAGAAACTGAATGTCAGGGCCAGGTATGGTATGCCCTGAAGACTGCCTACCATACTGACACAGTCACTAAAGACAATTGCCAGTTAGGCCTGTTTCCAATGGGAAACAATTTCCTCTGGCAGCTTTTGAAGTTTGTTTTTGTAGGAAATTGCCTCTTGGAGCATATAAAGCTAATTCATGGAGGTTCCCAAAACTCCGCACACCCGGATGGAGCTCCCTTGTGGAGGAGGCCGCCTTGTTGACATAATCAGGCTGGGCTCTTGGCAAAGCACCAGCTGTTTGTGTGGAGCCAGTTAGATTAGGCTGAAAGCCTCTAAATCTTCCAAAGTGTCCCCAGGAAGGGAATATAAAATGGTGATGGTGATATGGCAAGACCTAGGGAACACAACAAAGTCATGACATTTGTATTTGGCTCTGTCATTGTGATTCAATAACACAGAATTTGCTAGTAGATTCAGCAGAGGTCACAATACCCAAGTGATGGATGATCTGCAGTTCTATTTTTCCCACTGAATTTGTTTTATATGCTGGGTCATCTTTTCTTTGAGATTTGTTAGAGTGTTACAAAACATATTTTCTTCCTAATTACCCAAACACAATGATTTTTTTTTAACATTAGGATGTCTATAATATTTCAACTAAAGAATTTAAAATCAATAAACTTTATTTTTTTTGTACAAACAATATTAGGAGGCTGTCATATGTTTTGAAATTAAAAGGGAAGGCTGCAGTCATTCCACTAGTACCCCAATACATTTAAAATGTATTTATTAAAGGAGATTTTGTCAAGGACAATAAAGGATTTATTTACATGATTATAAAAAATGAGGAGGAAAAAAGCTTGAATATAATTCCAGGCATTTAATCTAAGCTAAAGGTTCCAAATCAAACGCATATCAATTTAAAATATGAAAGAACTTGCATTCCTTTTTCCAGGTGTGAGAAATACTGAGGTTTGAGCATGAAAGAAATGTTAAGTGAGTTGAAACATCAGAAACAAAGAAAACAGCAGCTGTGCACAGAATAGATAGGAAAAAAAAAGTGAGAAAACTTGTAGTCACATGGGGAAACAAAGTTGAAAGAAACTGTGTATTTGTTTGAATTTGATATTGTCCACAGTAGTGAACACTGAAGTTCAAAATTGAAAACCTATTCTGTTATAACCTTAACACCTCTTTTGGTTATTTATTTCTTATAAATAAAGGAGAATGAAAATCTGATCAGGGACCTTCTCCCTAATAATCTAGGATGAATTTGAAGACTGCAGTGTCATCAATTATTTTTTTTTGTTATGAAAATTTTACAAACTGTTCTTGTTTCTTTAGTCACATCCTTTCATATTTTGATATCATTTGCATGTAACTGTTCTAAAACTTTTCATATTATTCCTTTTGTTTGGAACATCTTTCTGAAACCCAGTCCTGTCACTCTAGCAAACTTCTTGACCTTAGTACCATTCAATGGTTATGGTTTCCTTCCTCTATTATGTCTTCATCTGAACTCTACACTTGCAGCACAGAGTTTAAATCCATTCTCTGTGCTTCTACATCAGCACCTGTTTCACTAAATGGCCAGTTTTGCTAATTTATCTGTCTTATTTGAGACAAACTGAGCTGTTTGAGGCTGGAACCACCCGCCCCCACCACCACCACCACACACATACACACCATTTCTTTATTGGAGTCTGAATAATTTCTGATTTTTCATAGATTTACATTCAGAAACATTTTTAAATGTTTCTGAACAAAGCCATCTTGACATATCTTATTTCTGACTTCTATGACTAGTCAGTAAAAGTGAGAGTCTGGATTATATTTTTGGCCTGAATTTCAGATCCCTGATAGAATAGCTGTATATCTGTGCAAAGAAACTTATCTGAAACTCTAAGCTTAGAATATAAAAAACTGTCTCATATAGTTAGCCAGAGGGGTAAAAAGATTCATGCAGAAAAATTACTTACAAAATCATCAAACATGTAATAAGAATGTAATTAAGTGCTAGCCACTAGTACCTTCATCACCCTCAGTCATCATCAACTTATAGGATGACCTGTGTGGAAACTGTGAGGGTTTCCATGGCATGTATACATATAGATGGCTGCTGGGTCATAGGATGTGCCAAAATTAAGAAGGTCAATGGCCTCAGCTTATACTTTTGAGACTCTCAGTTGACACCTTTTATTTTTAAAATTTTCTATTAATTCCCAAATCTACCCAAACCAAATTCTCTTTTTAACCTTCATTCATTATATATTTAATAAATATAGAGCCAACGCTTAAGATGTGCCAGGAACTTTTCTAAAATGTTTTACAAGTATTAAATAAATGCTTAGTAACTAGGATAGTAATAGTGGCTTTGTTTTACAAAGGAGGAAAATGAGGATCTGAGGAGTTACCTGACATGTAGAAATGAGGCAAGAATATGTGATGAAGCCAGAGCAGTCTGACTCCAAAGACCTTGCTCAGAATAACTGTCAACTCCAGCTCCTTTGAATTGAGCTTCCCTCAGACATCCATCTATTTATAAACCTGTTCTCTCTCCCTTTTCTTTGCTTTCTCTTCTCAGTCACTTTCTGCTTCTCTTTTCTAAATCAATTAATAGGGAAGAGAAAAGAAACCAAAACTGTGTAGTGAAGAAAAACCTTTGCTCTAAAGCCTACTAGAATCAGCTACACATAAAATGACTTTCTCTTGAAGCAACAATCTTATGTGTCATCTTTGTGTAGCTATGAGTTTTGGTAAATTTTTTGTTAAACAGGCTTCCAGATGATGAAAGCAATCCCTAGGCAATAGATGTAGCTACACAACATGACTGACAAATACATATACATGGAAATGAACACCAAGTGCTTCTCTCTCTGCCATTTTAATCAAAATGTGCCAGAAAATGCAATAGTATTAAGAAGATGTTGCAAATGAAATTGAACACTGCATTTTCATTGAAACATAAATAAAAAATTAAACACCAAAAATTAAAGTTAAAGCATGGAAAATTTAAAATGAAATTAATCCACTATGCCAAATTTTCCAATTTTGCCCTTATTTCTATGACTTCCAGTTTAAAATATATTTATATACAGAACACATATATTTCATTCCATATTATCCTTTTCTCATCTTTCAGTTTTCTGTAAACTTAGTGCACTACAGTCTAACTAGTGCACTACAGTCTCACTTTTTCCATTAAAGGCCTTCTCTAAGTACACATCAGCAATTTGAGAAATATAATTTAGTAAAATCAACTCAGCAATACCATGTTCTTCAACCTTCATATTTGCAGAAATATTTTTATTTATTCTAATCTTAGGAAATATTCATATTTAAGAAAATTTATCTCATGAAGGTTTGGAGAAATGTAAGTTCCAATATTATAATAAATAAAATAAAATACTCTGTACACATTCAAATATGCATTAAGAATAATTCTAAATTTAGTGAGATTTTCAATAGAAGAAAAATCACTTTGATATTAATAGATAAAATGCATATGATGTATTTTACAATCCTTTGTTCTACCTCATTAAAACTAAACAAATATTAACACAATTTTTCATGCTAGCATGAAAAACTATAGTACATAAAGACCCATGTGAATGTTTGTATTTTAATATTACAATTGAAATAAAATGTATGTGTTTATGGCCATGTATTATTACAAACATAGCTAAATGCGAGTGTCAGGTTTTTTTTTACTTAAAGGGAAAATATGATGTACTAGAATTATTTAGAGAAACTCATTTTTCTGCTCTGTTTATAATGTATGATGCTGTAATCTCTAGTAGCAGACTTTTATTCAAAATGGAGAAATGATCACTTTGAAAATAATGTCACTTATTTGAATAATTCAGAACAAAGAGCACAGCATTTAGAACCCCTGCAAAGAAGTATTCTCAAATTATTATCTGATCTGTACTTCTGTAAACTGAATATAATAATACAATTTTAATCATTTTCCTACTATATTTTATACAAAGTTATTTATCCCAAAGGATGAAGAATATTAAGACACTTTAAAAATAATAGTATGTTAAAATATCTTAACATTTATTTTTAAAATGTCTTATAGAAGATTCTGAAATATGTTCAAATATTATATAACATTTTAATATACCATAATCACTTTTATTGTTTATGTCCAATTAGATTTCTCTGCCTTGGACTCTAGATTTCTACTTCTAAATATTTACTTTACACTGCATCCAGATATATCAACAAAAGATAGATATTATGTCCCCAAGATATTATGGGATATAATGTTCCAAATCTCTTTATCACTAAATTTTTTTTTGTTTTATCTTCCCCATATCTTTCCCCTTTTATTAATGTTAAAACAGGTTCCAGTTAGTCAGACTACAATATCTGGGTTCTTTTCTTCTTTTACTTTCCTTCACATTTCATGGAGCATGGCAGAAAGTCATGGCAATTATACCTCTGAAACATCTTCCCATGCAGTGGGTGCTCCTTGGATATTCCCATGATCTCTTGCTATTGTCTTTTTCATCTGGTATCTTACCTGGATATTTTAAAAGACTTTATTCTCTGCTTCTACTTCTCCATCCTTTTATCTACTTGCTATCAGATCTTCATTTTTCAAAACTACCTCCCTGATACTCAGTCATTCATTTATTCTTCCCTTAGTTGGCTAATTATCCCTTCATGTCTTCACTGAGGCTCAAAAGGTATGATTTGGATCCTCCTTCAATGTTGTGCAGTCACGCCTCGCAACACTTATCAATTATGTTTTCCTTTTATTCTAGTCCTCACATTCTCAGTTCCAATAAAAGCTAAAAGGAATATTGAAACTAGATTAGTGTTATTCATTACATTTCCTGATCCACAACCATCCAAATATTTTTCTTGCATATTTTACTTTCAGGAAAAGACTTCATTAGCTACTCACCCAAGAAGTTTTAATGCCATAAATACTGACCTTGGAAATCTCACTCCACATGGAATGGGAGTTGGCTAACCTGTGATGTAACTAATTCCTCTAGTCCCTATCCTTCTTAGTTCACACTGTCTCCTTCCACATTAGTTCAGCCACTGAGGCCCAACAACCCATACAAAAGTCTACCAATGAAAGGATAAAAGAAATTGAAGTTAAAATGTAAAGGACCAGGTTTTGTAAAGTTTCCAAGCTGCACTCAGAGCCTGAAATTCCTGTGGCAGTTAAGACAATTCCTGGAACTGCCTGTTAGACATGTGTCGAAATCTTCCCCTGACCACCTAGTTACTAAATCACCCCTTCTCAGAAACCGTGCAGCTCAGCACGTACACATCTCAGGGCTTCAACCAATCAGTTTAAATATATACCTATCTTAGTACTAACCAATCACCCCCACCAGACCTGTTCCCGCCAATGAATGTGCTAATCATGTTTTAGAGTTGTTATTTGATTTTCCCGTGATATATGATGATTTGCTAAAGGAGGCTATGATGTATGTAAAGCCCCTGCCCTCTCTGAAGAATGTATATAAACTCTGCTCAAGTGGTTCTTGGGGCTCTTTGTTCTCTGCTCTTCTGAAGTGAGCTCTGAGCCCCAGCATGCTGGACCCCCAATAAACCCCTTTGCTGTTGTATGAGACGGTCTCTTGGTGGTCTTTTCCTCCAATGCTCGACCGACCTTTTCACCAACAAATATCACAAAGCATTCAGTACCATCTATTCAACATAGAATATATTCTGTGATAAAAAAATCAATTACTCAAAAGCCCTATATATTATTTTATAAAGATACTATTCCTCCATGAAGCAGAAGTTATGATTTTTGAGTACAGATGCAATTATATTGATTTTGTTTCATTTCATGTCTGTATTTAAAAATAAAACAATACAGTGAATAATTCAATTAATTGAAAAATTTCTTGATTGATTCATGGAGATAGACTTGTTCATGTAAGGTTAATTATTTAATTAAAACTGCTAACCAATGTTGACAAAAGAAATATGCAGGGAACCATATTTCATTTGTTAATTAATCTATTTTATTCTATATAGTCTTTACTACAGAGACACAGTCATATCATAAGGCCGGAGAAGAATAACCACACATCAAATGAATATTATGACTTTCATATTGACCATTGTAACAACAACATTCTTGTAAGGAGGAGAGAAAACCATAAAATGTTCAGAGGATGGGGTTGTGATATAGGAACAGATCTGATTTCACTCTAGTAGGGCAGTTTTTCCATATGCCACATTGAGTGTTTCTGTTGTACATCTGTTGCATGACAAACATAAAATGGTTGGGTTCACTATCAATTACAGGCTGGAACAAGTAAGATTTCAATTACAACAGGAGAGCAAAACAGCTGGGAAATCCCCAAGGGGAGGTGCAAGAACCAAGGGGGTGAAGCAGACATCACAATGGTACATTGCACACTACTAATTAGGGAGAAATGAAGTCAAGTTAAAAGAAAATATACCCCTAGATGCTCTGTTTCGTGGAGACCACTTGGGTTCTGAAAACAGTACCTTAGTGGCTTGTCTCAGTCTGAATTCTCATGTAATTGTTGCCTCATGAGCTGCTTAAATAAAAACTGTAGGAGAAAAGTATCTATGTTTAAAAGATAACTTATTTTTTATTTGAAAACATGAGCACTTAAATCACAAGCAAATATTTTTAAAAGGCAGAGAATATCTTTAAGAGGTTGCAAAGTAAAAAAAATAAAAAAGAAGAAGAAAGTTATGATAATGAGTGTTACAATTGCCTGCAGCTCCCTAAATAAAGAATGCATAAATATGGGCACATATAAAAGTCTTGACAAACATCTTACAAGCATCTTTTATTATGAACACTGCATGGAAATTATGTAATTTTCTCCAAACATGCCTGTTTTTCACATGTTTAATTAAATAAACTATAAGCAGTATAAATTCAAACAGCATAATATGCTATTGAAAATAAATAATATTTTTAAATATAGACTACAGTACTACTAATGAAGAATTAGCCACAGGTTATAAAATGTTAGAGCTATTCACACAACACATTTTTTCTGCAGGTTTCACAGCCAACATAGTTTAGAACAAATAAAAACAACAATAATTATTTTGAACCATGCCATATTTGGAATGCCTAATTTGTAACCCAGTGTAAGCTTTACAAAATATTTACAAACATTAATAGAAGGGCTACAATATTTACCATGTACTTTACATAAACCTGTAATTGAACATGGAATGTTGGCTACAGAGTATAGGATTTAGCTTGAATCCACCCAAATTAAATCTATTTATTGTTTTATGTTTCTCATTAGGGAAGTACTTTGGAAGCAATGAAATCATTGCATTAATTTAAATAAAACATGGATGGGCTCAGTTAAGACAATATGGGAAAGGCAAGGACAGTAGCACAGACTTCTAAAGCATACCATGTGACACTGCAAACATCAAATATAGTTTCATTTAATTTTATATTTTAAAACTGTGTTTTGCCTTAATTTTTATTCCGTATAATATAATAGCTAGTTCTTGAACTAATAAATCCTCACACTATCAGTATTGTGTCTGAGGGTAGTATCTGCTTACTTATGATGTGGACCTTGTTTTAAACATTACACTAGCAAAAGAAAATTTATTTCCCAGACTTGTTCTCCCAATATGTACATGATGAACCAATTTTAATGTTATTCAAACCCTAGATCTTTAAAGTCATTTAAATTGAACAAGGAAGGGCAATGTTTGGCCCCTTCTTCCCTTATGCTCCTTTTCTTCATTAACTATTTTAGGTTTTATCTGATACTTCCAAAAGGACCAGCATGAGTGCCCCCAAGGATCTGACCTGTTATAGCCACTGAGACTATGTGCTATTTTCAACAATTTATGAGATTATGGACATTTCATCTCTCTCTCTCTTTATTTACGTATTTATTTTCTTAGATTACGATGGCATAAAACTATGTTTAACTTGAAGAAAAAATAAAATCAACATAGTAATATTTGTGTTTTGATAATATGATTATTGGTTTATTAATCCTAACATTTGTAAGATAAAAATAAAACGTTATCTCCTAACATTAAGGTAATGAGAAGGAAATATTTAAAATCTATTATAAACGTTTCATAGAGAGGGAAAGATACGAATTCAATGGTAATATCAGAAGCAATTTTCTTTTTAGTATGAGTAGTGTAAGATGTCTCCCTAACTCCAGTGAACAGGGAAGGATCAGTCTGTGTCTCAAAATGAAATTCAGAAACATGCCCAGCCTCTATGGAAACCCTGGAAGTGCTCTGTATGACAGGCAACAGCAAAATTGCAGCTGCTGAGATTGTGCGTGTAGCCAAGTGCCACTTCACTCTTGATCTATGTTAAGTTGACTGAAGGAAGGAAATCAATTACTATCAGCAGTGAACTTCAGGTAGACTCAGGTTTGAGATGCCAGCTACATGCAGGTGTGTGCCCTCAGCAAAGATAATTCTGACTAAGCCTTCATTAAGTAGGAGTGCTACTGCATTCACTGCTTTGAGATTTAAGTGGTTGTGTTTTACATGTAGAGAGAGACAGATGGAGAAACCCAAATATTATAAACCTCCTAAAATTACCAACAAAAATATATGCTTTAAGTATTTGAACTTTTTCTATAAGACCAAATCTGTTAGAGAAGTATTCTCACACTCACACTTGCAAACAAACACTCATACTGCAATATTCTAAAGTGAACACCAGAGTCTACACATATTAAATTTCAAAGACCACATGGAATGAAAATATGCTGTAGCTTTCAATCTGGAATCTACTTGCATATATTTTAGGAAGAGTGCCCCAAATTTACATTGGATGGACTTCTGAGGACATTCCAAACAGCACCTTCCTTCCCCCCTAGACATTAATAGGTATTCAGGGAAGGTCATGTGGTTCATTTTCACAAGGAGATGATAGAGTGCTTATCAGGTGGCCCATCTTCAGAAGTAGATATGGTGAATACCACATCTTATTTGTAAGCTCCTGGACAAGGCTATGTTATGAGATAATGTGAGTTGTGCATGCATGCTAGGCACAAAGTGAGTCTGTCAATGGAATAACTCAGAGGAACTGGATTAAGATATGATCCTTGATACCACTGCCTGATTCTTAAATGAATATACATTGAAACTACAAGTCACTAATTGTCCTTTTGGTGAGATACCCTGCACACAAATTTAGTTATGACTTAAATCACTTAACTTAGTTAAGTGGTGTCTGGTACACTGCAGAAGTAAGACTTAACTAAAACTTAGCAGTAGTCTACTTTTTAAATACATATTTTCAAGAATATTTGGAGAAAATTGAAAAAGACAATATGTAAGGGGTGGTGTGTGAAATTCTGTAAATAACTGCAAGGTAAATTTCAGTCTAAACAACTTACAAATAAACCCCCCACAATTGCATGTATTACTGTTCAGTTTTGTATTTAATTTTGTTTTTCAAATTCTTCATAATTAACATTATACACAAATTTAGTTTCCAGTTTGATCAATGGATAAACTTTGAAGAAATAAGACAGAAAAAATATTTCAAACACTGAAAGTATAATAAAAGTTCCTATACATAGCTAAATAGCATGTTAAGCATGAGTATCCAGTCTAAAGAAACTCTTTGTGGAATGGAAAATGTCTAAAAATCTTATTTCATGCAAAGGTTGTTTTTGTTTTGTGACACCTTGTACAGGTATATGTATCCAGGCTTTTGAAAATACAATTTAAATACACACAAACATAAAAAAAGGAAATCCACAGAGCTTTTTTTTCATAATTTTAAGGGGTCATAAATAGTATGCTCATAGCTTTTAAATTGTAGAGCACTTACAAGTTGAATGTTAAGAAAAAGCCCAAACCCACAGACATCCTTTTTGTCATGGATTATAGAACAATTTCCTTCAGAAAAAATTTTAAGTTTTGATACTCAATGTTTCCTTTAAATGTACCCTATAGCATTGTTTTAATAATAACAATTACAACAGAGGATAAAACATCACATTTTGATGTGTCAGTATACTTTGTCACATAAGCAAACAGTTAGGGGTCCATTAAGACACAGATTAAGGTGGTAAATGCATGAATGACATTATCAGTCATTAGACACTTAAAGTGGGGATTAATACAATGATAGTGGATAATGTCATTCAGGCATTTAGAGAGTGTAAAATATAAGTTATCAACAAGATACCATAATACTTCTGGGGCCATTACAATCAAACATGTTAACACATATACAATAAATGAAGGAGGTAGGAAATGGCAAGAAATAAAACCCAAGCAAATGAGCTTGCGTGCAAGCAGTGAATAAGAGCCTTCTCAGAGTAAATAGGGTTTGGGTAAACGTTTAGAAAATGATTGCAAAAGAACTTGGAAAAATATATAAGAAAATCTAAAATGTTGACAACATATTATGTTAAACAATTAAGAATATTTATGTCTTGCTGACAGATGTTATGGATGCCATTTTTCACTGCTAATATGTTCTATGAGAGGTTTTAATAACCCACGGAAAATACTACAAGATAAAATAATTCTATCCTATAAAATAGTGTAAACATTGCCATATAGTTCATTTTTTTGGAAGATGATTCATATTGTTAGTCCTCCAAAATTATATATTCCTTTTATTTGTTTTATTTTTTTATACTTACCCTTAGTTTACTATTTTTCTCTTTAATTTGAAAAAATTATTGGGCACTCGTCTTTGATATACAAAGACTAGTCTCAGCTAGAGTCTTTGTATATTAGATGAATTTCTATCTCTGAAAAACATGTGCCATGTAACTAAGAATGGAGCAAAATTTTTAACCACTGAGTAAATTTATAAACCACTTTTTAAAGTACATTTTCCTTCTCTTTGACTTTATATAAAAACCATAACAGTAAATGAAAAACAATTCAGATCCTTCTCTAGGGTTTCCACCAATCTCTATGTCTCAATTTTTCTTTCTCTTACACACACACACACACACACACACACACACAATACCACACATTGCAGTTGTTGTCTGATAAATAAGATAATTGAATAAAAGCAGATTTCAAAATTCAAATGAATCATTTTCATCATTTTTTTTGAACAGAAAAATAAATTTTAGAAACTAAACATACTAACATAAAACTATGTCAAAATAACACTTTCTTTTGGTACTAGGGGTTGAACCTTGGCGTGCTTAACCACTGAGCCACATCCTCAGACCTTTTAATATATATTATTAGAGACAGGGTCTTGCTGAGTTGCCAAGTACCTTGCTAAATTGCTGAGACTGGCTTGAACTCACAATCCTCCCTTCTTAGCCTCCCAAGCCACAGTGATTACAGGCGTGTGCTATGGCACCAGGCAAACTAACACATTTTCTGAGTTTTATACATATAAGCTATTAAGAAGATCTCACTTTTAGGAAAATTTAGCAATGATGTCTCAAGAAAAAGATTCATGCAAAATTATATTCATATAATTAAATATTCTTTAATGATTTCAAGCTTTTTCTATAATGAAATTGATTCCATAATAGGTTGTTTTTCTATTTCCAGTATGATTAAAGTCATATTTAATACTAGAAAAAGAAGTTGATCAAATTATGTTATGTGCATGCACAAATATGGCATAATGAAAGTGACTACTATGTAAAATTATAATTTATCAATAAAATATTTTAAAAGAAATATTTTATGACTTCAAATGTTTACCAAGTAATTTCTATATATATTTAAATCTTCTGGGTGTGTTTGTGTTTGTGACTATGCTTCTGTTTTCACTTTTATTTTTCTAGCATCTCTAATATCTTTTCCAAAATTTGTAAGATGCCCAAATCTCCTGTAAAATTTTTCAGCATATCACCAAAATCCAGTGCCTAAAAAGCAAGTAATATTTCAATAAAAAGAGATACTGTTTTGATGACAAAGAATTTTTCCCCTACTATTTGGTCACATTATAAATTTATATTAAAATTATCAACCCTTGGGCTGGGGATGTGGCTCAAGAGGTAGCACGCTCGCCTGGCATGTGTGCGGCCAGGGTTGGATCCTCAGCACCACATACAAACAAAGATGTTGTGTCCGCCGAAAACAAAACAAAAAAAATAAATAAATAAATATTTAAAAAAAAATTATCAACCCTTAATAAAAATAAGCTATAGTTAATATTTTATTATATTCATATAATTTGGAACATTTAAAATGCTCTTTAGCTTCTGCAACTAATTTTAAAGTAACTAAAATGCTCTTTAGCTTCTGCAACTAATTTTTTACCTTCATTTTTTTCAAAACCAGCAGGATATCATCAAGGGGCCAATTACATTTTATTGTTTCCTTATATTATCAAAGAAGGGAAATACCATTTTTGTTTTGTCAAAACATCATTAATCAAACATTTGCCTTTAAAAAAATAACTGCAATCTTGGGAAGTATAATTTCTTTATTTGAATGTGGGATTATTTATAAATGTTCATGCACTGTTGCTGTCCTCTAAGTATAAACAGTCCTCTATAGCTCGAGCCTTTCATAAGTGTGTAGTTTAGATAACTCCATACACTTTCAGGTCATAATTTCTAGAAAACATGGAAAGAGAGAAAATGTTTTTCTTTCATTTGTTATTAACAGTTTACAGTAACTTCACTACTGAATATTCTTATGCATGTAATCTTAGGTTTAACATTTTAATGAATTTACACTTTCAGTACACACATAGCCAGATACATTATCTGTTCAAGTTACAATAATTGGTTATAAATTTTTGTATTACTTAACTTTTCCACAGCAATATCCTGCTATATTGTGCTTTGACCAATACTACTATTGTCACTCCTATCAAATAAGATACAAAATACATGTGTTCATTTCAATGTGACAGCATAGCTAATATTGACAATGTATTGCACTGATTGATTTGTTAAGACAGCTTGCAAGACAGCCTTCCTTAGTGTCCATTAGATTTGGTAAGTAATCTAGCCACTGTTTGGTATGTATGCATGCCAGTGTTTTAGGGGGCCCATGTGATAACTTTACAGATGATGTCCTAAATACATACATAAATGATGACAATCATAGGTGGACAGATAGAGAAATTAATTGTAAGTCATACCTTGTAATGTCTTTCTGCATGAGTGAAATGGAAAAGTTATGCCACTTAAAGGTAATAGATTCCAAGAGTCAGTAAGTCTATATCTAGCCTCAGGGGAAAACATGTTTTTTTAGTCCTTTGGACAAGTCAAAGAAGCAGGACACAGAGATATGCAATTATGAATAGGACTGACAATGAGAAATGAGGTTTTAAGAAGTCTCTGTTAACATGAGGAACTACCAGCTGATGCCGCTTATAATGTTCCCAGTGCTCCTAGAGACAAAGCCCAATGAACTGCTGAGGACTGCTGCTGACCAGGGTGCTGCCATTTTAACATAAAAGGAATGCTAGACCAGGCTGCTTAGATGGCTGGGAGTGAGGGAAGACAGAGTCAATCCCTATTGGCCACTTAATATGCTAATGGAGGAAGGAAAGGTATTCTTTCATTTTACCATCTACCAAAGAAAGATAACAATAATGTCAGGTCACTAAATATGGCAGCAGGGCTTGAAGCACAGAAATCTTGCCTGCTTAAGAACATAGAATAACAACAGTAAAACAAAACAAAAAACTTAGATGTTGTTGTTAATATGCTATTGCTACTATAAAGTTAGTTAATAGGGGGAAGACATCAATATATGTTGACACGCTACAGATGACTGTTATTTTCTTTGTTCTGTACATCATTTAAAATAAATGAAAGTAAATTACTTTAAAATCTACAAATATTTACTTTAAAAATAAGCAAAATGACCCCTCCCTTCCACTTATGTAAAATTATATTCCAGTGTTTTGCCCTCCATATCTGTTGATTATTTTTTTCCACATCAACATCTGCAAAATCTGATATGATTATACACTGAGCTGAAACATTAGAAACTTTTAGTTCAAACAAAAGAGTCAACCTTTATAGGAAATACTTTCATTTGAAAATACGCCCAGCTGATCTTTGAGATATCTTGTGTGAGGCCCTATGTTCTTCTCAAGTTATATCACAGCGTTGTTAATGCTTTGAAACAGTGAGTCTATAGACAAACCTTGGTCTTTTCTGAAATGAAATTCTGGACCTGCTTGAGGAAATCCTGTCTCTGCCAACTTGCATGTTTTCAAAGAAATGTCAAATTAAACCAATAGAAATCTAGTTTAGGTTCTTCTAACATCTTTTTGAATATGAGGAACTGTACCTACTTTCAAAGAACTTAAAAATACAAAGTGTAACAAAGAACAGGAAAGCATTTGAGAAACTCTTCTAAACTACATGCTGCCCTTAGACAACTTTCCTTTGAAATTTGCCACAAAAGCATTAGTACCTGAAAATATTTCAACACATTAGGAAGAAAAAAATCTCCTCAGAAAGCAATGAAAAATTCCTGACTGTATCATAAAGACTCATAGAATCCCTTTAAGGCAGAAATATGGATATATTTATTTACAAAGAGCCTATTTAACATGTAACAATACATTTATGCCTTGATGAATTACAAAATTTCTCAACAAATAAATTTCTTAAGATGAAAGTGATTCTAAAGGAAAAGCAAAATATTTAAATTAAATATCCATAATAAAATTTTCAAAGCCAAAGTATATCTATGGGAAGTATGCGTAGTTTCCTTATTTTAAGTTTAGGTTTTGGAGTAAAACTGGCTTAAATTCACACTCACCCCTGGCCTTTCTCTTATATTTTGCTGACTTTGAACAAAAACTCTTTAACTAATTTTATATTTGAGCTCTTTGGGGCACAACATAATAAAAATATATTAAAATTCTTGTCTTAGTATGTTTGAGCTACCATAACAAAATAGTGTTCCCTTAGTGGGGAACAGATTCTAGGACCCCCACAGATGCTAAAATCTAAAGCTCAAGTCCCTTCTATAAAATGCTGTTAAGATGGCATAGTATTTGCATATAATATCCTCTCATGTGTTAGAAAGCATCTCTAGATCTCTTAAAATACTAACACATTGCAAATGCTATGTGCTATGTAAAGAGCTGTTATGTTGTATTGTTTAGGGAATAATAAATCTGTATAAAATTTTTAAAATTTATTTTTGAGAAGGAAGAGAATAATAGAGAATCCTTTAGAAAGCTTATTTTTTCCATCATTAGCATCCTTTATTTGTCAATTTTAAATTTTGGGGACAAGAATACATATGAAAAATTTGAGGGGAAAAAAAAAACAATCTTCAGAGCAGTAGGGAGATGAAGAAAACACAGCCCATGGTTGTTGTGAAGAACTTAGCTTACCAGCCAGCATCTATATTTGTCAACAGTGAAAAAGACATACCAGTCACGTAGGAAGGTCCTGGCCTCAAGGTCCTTGGCCTAAAGAGGGCTTTCCAGGTAGAAATTGTGCTGAACAACTAGGAATCCCTTTGGTTTCCTTTGTTAATCTCTACTAACTTCCTCTATCCTATCTTCCAAGCTCAATCTGTTTCCTTCTTCTCATTCTGCCTACCTAGCTCCAAAGCTTCCAGAGTCCTTCTGTTCTCTTTCTTAAATCTCCAGGAATGCCTCCAAATTACAGGAGTCCCCATATAGCCCCTGCCATTCAACAAGTGAATGTGATTATCTATACCAGTGATAAATATTTTTGTCATTCCACCCAGCAGCTGCACTTTCCCAAGTCAACACTGTTATAAAAGGTGGTTCCAAAAGTACTGTTGGTGTTCTTTACCTAGTCCATATTCATGAAGGAATAAGTGTGTTTAGAAGGCTGGTCACGGACACTACCCACCACATAGGAAACTTTCAAACTCACTTAAAAGAATCGTGAGAATAGGAATTATTCCTTAGTTATTTGATGGGAATGTATATTGAGAAAAAATATGAAATTATTTAGATGACCAAAAATTGAGAGGAATGTGGCCTCACAAAACTTGCAAAGAGAGACATGTTATTTTATATTTCTATAGCATGTTCAAAAGTAAGAAGTAAATCCTTAAACAAGAGAGGCAATGATCAAAGCAGTACTAAAGTGTAAGATACTATTCCTAGAGCCACAAAGTCTGTCCTAGGGCTCAAACCATGTTCAAAGACTCCAATCTGTTACACACTAAAATATCCCTCTCATTATAAACAATGCAATATTCAATTACATCCAGGTAAGTCCACTTCTACCATGACAGCTTTATTTCATTAAAACTTCATTTGTCTATAGAAATGAAGTATAGTCATGGTTGTTAAATGTAGAGAGTGCTTAGTCCAGTGCCTGACATGACATATATCCAATAAATCCATATTATTGCTATTATATTGCTATTAAGTAATTTTTGCACTGTTAGAGTAAGAATATAGTTTTTTAAACTAGATTATTTTATAGGTATATTTAGTCTTCATTATTCAAGAATTCTATGTTTGTGAATTTGCCTACTTGATAAAATCTACTTATAATCTCCAAATCAATAGTATTTTTAAGTCTTTCTCAGAAATGTGCTGAGCTTTGAAAAATGTGTCTCCTGACATAAGTGTTCCTAGCAGAGTTTGAACAAGGCAATGCTCTCCATTCCTGTTTTAAATCTTATGTTGTAAACGAGTGTCCTTTTTAAGGTCTATTTAGTGCCACTTCTTATTTCTTACATTTTTTGTGATTTTGTAATTTAGTATAGATCATGAGCATGGTGTTAAAGTGCTTAGTGCTTCTGGACACAAAAATCTATGACACATTGTAAGGAAAATATGGATGTTAGATGAACTTTGTTTTGACATGATTCACACTGCTCTTTTACAAGTTCAGTGTTAACAAATTAACTGTATGAGTGAAACAAGACATCTTTAAACAGAACATACATTAAAAATGGTTATTTATTGATCCATATATGAAAATGTTAGGACAGAAGCTCCCAGGAACCCAACCCCGTATTTCCCCTAGGAGCAGAGGTTTGGAGTTCATGAATTAGGTGTTTAAAGGCAATTCATGGCATGTTACCATGTATGCCACGAACTGAATGTGGCCCTTTCTAAATGGATATCTAAATATAGAGTGGAAGATTAAATGCCTATGAATTCTTCTTTCTTCTCTTTCATATTCAACAAAGCATGAGGAAATTATAAAAGGAATAACAGTGGTTTGGGCAATGCTACCATAGTTGACTTGAAGCTGACTCTTATGTAGGTCCTTCTGATTTTATTTTGTTCAACAGAAGTATAGACTTGGCCCGTGATAGAAAATTCGCTCCTCTATTTCACCACAAAGTAATAACATGTGAAAAAAAAAATGGGAAATCAGCTCCAACATACAGACCTTTCCCTTACAACTAGAATTTCAGAAATGAATAATGGATTAGGAATAGCTGTGTTGTCACGAAGCCTTGATTGATTGTTTCCTTAATATGCACTGAGTGCTGACAAAGTGCAAATCTCCCAATCTGCTGTGATGGGACCACTGTTATTAAAGAGTACAATTATACTTTTGTAGCCTTCGCTCATTTCTTGATTTCTCTAGACTTTTTTTTTCATCAGAGAAATATAACCAGTTTTTCAGTTAACTAAGGATGAAAATAATAGCTAACATTTATTTAGCTCTTATTCCACACACTATGTTAAACAGTTTACAAATAAATAAATAAATATACATGTATACCTACATATATGTATTCTATATTAACAGCAAGTCTATGAGATAGTTATTATTAAAAATCCTATTATCTGAACTTAGAGACAAAAAATGAAATGCTTGTCAAGTTAAGTGGTTTGTACACGGCAGGTAAATGAATCGTTGGGCTTGTGAATAACATACTTGCCTACCAAGATTTCTGTTGTTTTAACAGGGGATAATAATTTATGGGTGTTTACATATACATAAATATAAAACATACATACACACCTATCTACATCGGCAAATGTAAGACATTGGTTTTTATACATTAGATCTATTGGAACCATGAAACACTAGAAATTCTGGAAATTCCTCTAAGAATAAAATAAAGAAATGAAATCATACATCTAAAATATGTGATAATAATGCTTCATCAGTTTCTTTCTATAGAGAGGTAAATAGTCAAAGGTGGATCATTTTAATCATAAGTATGTGATTTCACCTTCATATGCACTGTTTTACTTTCAGATTCAAGAGTGGAGGATTTTCTTATCTCAGTTCTTTGACCTTCTACAATAGTAAATAAATAATTTATGAACTTCTATATTGTGTACAAAGAGAAACAAAAAAAGTGATACTATTTTGATAATTTTTAGTTCACAGAACCAGGCTTGACAGATGATAGATTTATTTAAATTAAAGGTTTTATCACTATCTTAGAGATTGTAAAAGAAGAGTAAAATTCTCCACACATATGGGAAATGTGAGAAAGTTGGAGGTAATCTCTTTTTAACTTATAAACATAATAGGAGCTTTAATGCATGTAAGACAGAATGAATGTGAAACAGAGTAATAATTAGTTTCTCTGATCACCTGAAAATTGTTACCAATCACAATAAATAGCTTCTTTTGACAATACTACTTTTATGACTGGAAAGTATTTTCTGAAACCTGTAGCAACAATTTTTCCCTCAGTGGATCTTTAAAGCCAGTATATGTGTATTATCTCACTGCCCTTTGGAGCATCAAGAATATCCTTTAACATTTTTATAATAGCCCTATCCATCTTATTCCTTCGGCTTCCACAGGTTGACATATTATTAAGTGATATAAACTTGGGGTGGGGATAATGGGACATTTTTTCCATTGTAAAAATGAATATCCAGTAAATATATTACTCTGGATATTACTGATATTTATTCCAGAGATATGATATCACCTTTTCTTCTCTACATCTATGTTCCTGCCAAATGTTTTTTAATACAGTTGCATTCCATAGTAAACAGGTACATATGCTTTTTCCTATGGCGAGAGGATATGGTATTTACCTTGAGGGGAGGGAGCATATATCAGACATTTATTTCTTTTTTCACATAAATCACTTAAACATTTTCCTTTCAAAAAATACATAATTAAATTTAAGAAATCAGGCAGTTCCCTATAAACATTTATCCCCTTAAACTACTTCTTCACTTTAAAATCATTCAATAATTCTATAATGTTTTAGTGTTTTTAATATTTTAAGCTTCTATTTTTTGAGAGTTTAATCATACCAATTGAGTTCCTCTAGCAAAACTTCACATGGATCTCTTCAATTCTAAAGTCTCTGAGTATTGGTAATTTGTGGGGGGATTAGCAGCATTTTTAAAACAATGTCTTTGAAGAGATCAGGGACTACTTAGACGTGTACTATAACAAAAATTTATAATATGTTTAAGTTTTGATATTCAAAGGTCTACTTTGCCTTGGAACAAATAAGTATTTTCCCATTGGAATATGGTTTACCAAAACCTCAGAGAAAAAAAAAATGAGCAATCAAGACTTTAAAAAAAATGTTATGGATTAACAATAGGTGTGTAAGAGAGAGTGGATATGATGAGGAAAAGAATGTCATAAAATTACAAAGCAGTCTGTGAAAAAGCAACCACTCTACTTGTATGCTGCAGAAAAAAAAAAAATGTGCTATTCAAGCAGCAACTTACAGACAGAACTAGAGAATACATACAAGCATTTATTTATATTGCCCTTATTAATACCCTAATGTGAAACTCATGCATCAGAAGTGTAAACAAATCCCTTCCTCACTTTGGGCTGTATGTTTATATCTCCTTTCTCTCTCTTTTTTTTTTTCTTTTCTGTTTTTGCTTAGGGCCATTCAAGTCCAACTAGATAAGTGATTTCAGGTTCAACAGTACTATTTGATAGGGAAAAGAAATGTTGCAAACATGAAAACTGCATAGAACATTTTGTCATGTTATTTCTTTGGAAACGTGATCAACATATTGAGGGTGTAGTCCATTATCAAGAAAACTCATAGACACACTGATATTACTTGTCCTGTCCTCAATAGTAGCCACAAAGCCTCAAAGCAGGTAACAAAACAAAAAGTCCTCAATTGCTGACCTGTTCATCCCTTACCTTAGATCTAATAACCTAAGAAGCATAGCACTATCAAAGTCCTGGGATGACTTCAGTGTAGGGAATGCATAGAATCTTTCTTTCAATCAGATTTGTTGAAACATTATTAAAATATTATTAGTATTAGGGTGAATAGTGAAATTAAATTACTCATGCCCAGTCAGCCTTTCCCCCAATTTAAACATGGCAAATTTATTCAGTTTTCATTTACTTTTTCCTTTTAGTTCCTTGAGATGATATTTAAGAGGACATGCCCTAAATTAATTAGCTCTATCAACTAAAAAAAAAAAAATTGGATGCTACTTTCTAACACTAGAACAATTTTGGTTTTGATTTTGTTTAGTGGAACTCAAATTCGATTCATATAAATTTTGCTTAAAATACTTTATTTCTTCCTATAACGTAGATAAAATGTCCTGGTTCCTTAGCAAGACACACAAGATTGCATTCTGGCTTTTCCAAATCCTTCTTTTGCCACATCCATATATATCATCATTGGGTCCAACCACATTAACTTATTGAATACTTAGATATTTAGCCTAGAAGCATTGAAACACACTTTTGCAATGTATGGAATACATTCTTCTGTTCTTCTTTATCTTTCTTTTATTTATTTATTTTTTAACTCCTACTTCAATTTTTAAGAATCAGCTCAAATTTCAAAATTCCTTTGAAGTCTCTTCTGTCCTGCCATCTTTAGGTTACCAATCTCCATGAGACAGAGTTTGCCATGCCTTTCTCGATATTCCCAGGGTTCTCTATTGTCTTCTATTTTAATAAGTCTCTCATCCTGTAATTGTGTGTTTACATGTTTGCCTCCTGATTAGGTAACAATTCCTCACGCCTCTATTGATTTTTGTTTCACAGTGGTTTGGAGAATGTCTGGCTCAGAGTAGACACTTAAAGCCTCATCAGGCTCTTCCCCTTCTCTCCCCTGCTTCCTCTAATATCAATTTTATTGTGTCTACATAATCACTTTATAGCTTTATTTAATATTTTATAGTAATTACTGGTGAAAATGAGTTTTGGGAAGTCTACTACTCAGTGTTCTGAATATCAGATAAATTGCAAAAAATCTTTTCAAAACAAAGACATTCACTGAGGGCTCAATGTCACCTTCCTGCATTTGTAGGTTTGGTAATACATGAGTCTCATGAAGAGCAAGAAGGAGCATTCATGCTGGTTTATGTATTTGAAAGCAGAAAACACAAATAGGAATCTTTTTTATCCAAATCACTAATTAGACATCCAAACTTTAACTACATTTAATTTAGCAGACAATCTTCTGTTTTCAGGACACTCAGGTTTTATTCCACTGTTGTTAACATTTCCTTTTTGTTGTAGTAAATAGACAGGCTGATTCATTGTTTCTTCAGTTGGCATTTCTTCATATTAATTCTCATTAATGTTTTCATTTGAACAAGAAGGGCTTTTGAAATGCCAAAGCTTAAATAACACTTCATCTTGAAACAGTTAAAAGATAAAATTTAGGCTAGGTAGGGTAATTAGACTTATGTAATATCTAATAAAAACTATGTTTGAGTTTTCTATTCAGTGTTTAAATGCTCTTGGGGACAGAAATTCTGCATATGTTTTCAGGAACAAACATAACTCATTTGAGGACAAGTTTAGTGAAGAATTTTAGTGATTAAGCTAATATGTAATACTGTTTCTGGTAAAATTATACAGGTATTGCAACCAAATTATAAATAAGTGATTTTTTTTTGTTTTACTGAAAAAATAATAGTGCATTGGACCTGTACATAGTACTGGGGATCAGTTGGACATATTCATAAATACATATGACATAGTTTTCTTCATTTCTATCCACAGTATTAACTCTTTATTTCCTTTCCTCCCTCTCTTGGGTTAATACTAATCTGATTGTGGTGGCATTTCTAAATCATTTTGAGAAAAGTTCAGTGAAAGAACAACTATAGGGCTTAGTGGTTGAGTTCTTGCCTAGCATGCATGAGGCTCTGGGGTCAGTCTCCATTGTCATACAAATAAATAAATTAACAAACAAATAAATAAAACCTATAAAATCCATGAAGATTTGGTGGTGGGCTATATTCTGGAGTCATAGTCACGGAATTCCTGGTTATTTGTAACCCTTCCTCCTTAAGATATTCCCTATATTTAAAATGTTGGCTTTGCTATAACATAAAGAAACACAAAACTATTTCAATATAACATATTTTCACACTTCAAAAAATTTACAAACACCCTTAGCCTGGACTTATTATGGCCTGCTATACTTTAGGTTCCCAATCTATTTCAGTAGTAGATTGGAATACACAAATGAATATATGGAAATCAAGTTGCATGCTGATCATTTAATGTTATGCAAATGAAAGAAAAGGATTAGATTCAAGGTTCCCAGAGAAAACAATTTCAGTTTCCAAACAATGCCAACATTTAAAACAATCTAACAATATCTGTTTGAAGTGGCATCAGTTTAGGGAAGGAATTGAAAGGAGAATTTTTTGCTCAAAACTTTCAGGTATATGAATGAAGCCATTTTCCATAAGACCTCACTTTATCAAAAGATATATAAAAACATTCACAGCAACCCCTGGTACAAAGCCATTGCTGTCCCTTATGAGCTGGGGACGGCCTGCTATCTTTGTCCTGGGGTCCAGCTTGCTGGTGAGCATAGTTAGCACCAGGCTTTAGCCCAAGTTTTACAGAAAATGAACACAAGGCAGTATGGCAAACTCCTGTCAGTGCCACCGTACTTGATCTGAAAAGACATGGAAAAATTCAAATTCTAAAGCTGTCAGACTGCAAACTTTCAGCAGAGAGAAAAGCTTCACTTTAAGAATGTAAACAAGGACAGTGAAGGTCTTGCTATCTAAAGAGATCAGCATGCAAGAAGTGCTCTGGCAGCTTGAACGCACTGAGGCGGTGGCAAACCCCAGTGCCCCATTGTGAGACTGAGCCTACCTTGGAGACTCATGGCACTGTCTTCATCCTGCTAAGTACTTTACCTGTGATTGCAATGGCAGATGCTTCAAAAGAGCGAAGCAGAGACCTGTCTCTTTAGAAGCAACAGCAGTCTCTCTGAAAGCAGCAGTTTGGCATTTCAAGGGGAAAGGTCATTTCTTTACACCTTGGAAGAGGATAGATAACAATAATAGAAAGAATATCAGGCATGAAAAGCTACATTTTCCTAGATCCCTAAAGGAAATCATGACACAGCCGTGTCGCTGGTACTATGAGCCAGTGCACTAATTTATCCCACTTCAGCGCATTGACTTTCCTCTTCTGTGAAAGGGCATCCCAGCTGGGGGAGGGGGGGAATGTTTACTGAGACTTGCTGAATATTATTTACAGGTCTAGTGGGCCCCTTCTAAGTTGCAAGGAAGAGATACCTCTGGTGTTGGTGAGATATGAAGTGGTGTGAAAATCACCCAACTGTACTTGAAAGATGACACTCTTGTGACCTAAGAAAGATAACATCACGTTAAGTGCCGCACTTTGAGTTCATCCAGCATAAATATCAGTGCCAAAGCAATCACATAGAGGGCCCTTGGGACACAGGGGTGATAAATCAAAACGTGGAAGGAGGTCTCCAAAATTACCCTGAGTGCATTGCCTAAGGAACAGCTGATTGAGTCTGCCATTAGAAACTTCCCCATCAGAAAACAGAGAAATATTTTGTCACGTATTATCTAAAGGAGCTGTATTGTTACAGACATTCCTCTTCAATTATTTATACATTCTCTTTCTGGTAAATCTCATCTGATTCTCTCTCCTTTCTAAATGTCACGAGTTTTACTCTTGCACTGGCACCGATGTTAACATTTGAAGGGGGGAAAGGTTGGACTTAAGTTTAATAGATTTCATATTTAATAATGTAGTCAATAAAGTCTGCCCACTTAATCAGTCAAAGGCTACTCCACTCTGGACACTAAATGCCTCCAGTGGGCCATGTTGTTCCCATTACATAAAATCCACCCATTATTTTCAATTCTTAGAAAAATAGTTTAATATTTTCTAGAGCTTTCCATATCTATAAATAAATAAAATGGCCATGCTTTCAAATAAGTGAAATAGTGCTGACAATATACTTCAAACACTATCATTAATGAAAGTCACAGAACAAGGAACAAATTCAAATCTGTATGGGATTTGAAGGATTAAAGCACTTATGAGGGAAAAAAAAAAATCGCTGTACATTTTTATCTCCTCTCCTCTCTGGCCATCCTCATTTCATGAAAGGAGGACTCCACAATTAGAACCAAAGGGAATCCTGTAACCAAGCATGGATTCCAACATTCTCATCTATTGTTTGTTTTGTAGTCAACTTTCCAGCAAGATGCCACATTAATCACAGCAATGCTATTCTAAACATTATCAACAGCCTGCCTCTCTCGCGTTTGCATTAGCTTTGTAACCATTTAAATAATATTTTCTCAAACCTCAATTATTAATACTTAAAAATCTTTAGAGAAAGGGTTGTGCATGCCTAAGCAATTTCTTTTGCATTCATATACTGTGGGTGTTCTATCAGCTCAAAAGAGAGTACACACAAAAAGAAACATTGCCTAAAAACTTTGATCTAAGCCAGGAAAGCATCTACTCAAATGGCATGTGTTTAGGGTGAGTAGGTGTAAAGTTGTAAAGCACACTATGTCTAGCAATTTTGCGAATTAAAAAAAATAAAAAAGGCTTTTTCTGTTCACTGAACACATATTTTCCTGTTATAGAAAAATGAAGAATATTTAAATTCCATGCATCACTGCCTATCAGGAAATGCCCATATTCTTCTGCTTTTTAGACAGCCTATGCCCAAATGGTTGTTAAATATAAATCTTTTCCTTGAATTTCATATTGTTAGATGTCATTTGGTTTTGCTAGTTTTTAATTATGGTAGTGTGAAGAAAATTTGTTGTTCATTCTTTTTCATTAACTGTTTTGAGCTGTCTAAAATGTTAACAGGTAAGGATAAGTCCATTTGAAAGCTTCCTAAGTCATTAAACTTCAGTTGCTGGTCTCAAGAAACCTATTAGGATGGCCCAGTCTGGATTGGTTCATTCATATTCAGGGTTCCTGCCTGCCTACAGCTTTCATTTCATTTGTCACTCTGTGTTATAATGATTTCCCCAAAATATTCTTCCCAAACGATCTGCAAATCCCTTAAAGTCAGTAATTTTTAATATAAAGAATGGAATAATTTGGTAACAGATTATTACCATATCATATGACATGAGCAGTCTAGATTGATGAAATGAACACATCTCCATTGCTATATTCAGGATTTTCAATTAACATATATTTGCTACTTTCTCTATATTCTATCATTCTTAAGGACACCCCAGTAGAAAGAACAAGCAAGAACATTTTGAAAAATAATTATTAAAAAAAACTAAATTTGAGAAAATTCATTATATATTTTTAGGCATTTGAAAAAATACAGCTTTTGGGTTGTTTGCTTTTAGTAGTTGACCATAAATAATAACCCATATAACAGAGTAAGAAACTCTATATAATATCTCTCTTTTCTTAACAGTGGCATGCCAAAAGTCATGTTTTCTGAGATGCAATGTCTTATATTCTTTAAAAGTAGTCGGTGTCACTCAAGTATAGAAATATCTCTACTCTGAGGCTAATTAGGTTTTTATCATAGGGCTGGAATAAGACTAGAAAACAAACACAAACAAGATCTGTAAAAGAACTATTAGATTCTAATTCTGGCTCTGTTCTGATTACGAAAGCTTAAGAAAGACGCTTAACTTTTTGGGTCTTCAGTTTGCCCAACTATAAAACAGGGTAGTATTAATAACCACTTCAGAATTTGATTTTGAGGAATAAGTGAGGGAAAAAAAGTACATTTACTATAAGGTATCATGCAGGCAAATCCCAGAAAGTCAGTTTAACAAGCTTCAGTTGTCTAAACAAAATGCATAATTAAGGATATTCTGAAACTGATGTACTGGAATAACACAAAATTTTTCCAACGTAAGAATTACATGATGAGCAAATTTCCTAGGAAAATGGTAACATATAGACATTAAAGGTCATCATAAAATAAAATTTTAAAAAAGATCATAAGATTGTAGGAAGTATATTGCAATCATTTTACATGGTATCCCTACCTCCTTTATTAACAGTGGCAGCATTTTTGAGGATCTTCATTCTTGGAGCCATTCAGTTCCCAAAGCTCACTACAAGCACCTCCCCCCTCAAAGAGTCAGAGGACAGAAAAGCATATATTGAATATTTTGAAATAGGACCAATTTCACTCCAAACTCCATGAAGTTTCTATTTTTTCTTGTTGTTGTTGTTGTTGTCGTCATCATTAAAGTTAATTTCAAAAAAGAAGTAATTATGGATGATTTCCTCTCAATTGCTCATCATAACATTACCAAAGAAGATTTCAAAATATATTTGGACATTTAAAATATTTATTTCATTCATATTTCACTTTATTCAAAATGCATGACCAAGCTCATTTTCTCTGAAGTCAGTTCTGCCCACTTTTTCCTACCCCCAAAATTCCTCACATACTTTGCACTCTCCTGAAAATCTAAATTCCTTTAAAATTTTGCAGGTGGCTGGCCAGTTCTGTTTGTTTGTTTGTGTTTCAGAAGTTAAACTGGGAAGCATTAATTAGATTGGAGAGTGTTTTATTTTGTATATCGTTTTAAAAATCCAAATAAACTTGAAAGATGACCAATTGTCTGAAAAGTACCAAAAAGGAACAGTTACTGAACAAAAGTGCTAAGAAAACCAATGTGTATTCTTAATTACTCGATTATGGTGGGAATCTCATGTAAGGACAAGAGTTAGAGAAGGAGAACAAACAGAAACAAAAGAAATATTCCACATCTTAAAAACAAGCTCTTTTCATGGAGTTTTGCAAGTTTAATAAATTTAAAAAAATTTGTCTTTTTAAAAGAGAATCTTCATTATTTTATGATCTCTTTACTTTGCTTCTTTCCTTAAAAAATATATATATATTGTCTAAATGTTCGGTGAGGTGGCCAAAGATGTTAAAATACATTTTTAAATGTGGCTACAATAATTAATTAAATCCTAAGTACACTATAGGTATATTAAAATCTACTGTGCTCATTATGGTCATTAATGGACACTCCAGCTATCTGCATATATTTGCCTCATGATGAAATATTAATAATATAATAATAGATCATTCAGTCCTACAATGCTATGTTCTTTGATTTTTGTATGTAGTCAAATAGTTTTTCACAGTTTTAAGCAATTCTTTAGATGTTGTCATTATAAGTTGCAATAGTTTTTATTAACAAAATAATTCAATAATCTGTGGGAAAAATCATCCATAATTACTTCTTTTTTGAAATCAATAATTTTGAGTAAGTAAAATCTGTGGGAAAAAGTAAATCTATGGTCCTTACAAGCTTTTCTTTTATAGGGGTAATTATAATCCTGTGATTTTTCCATAAGTCAGAAACATTGGACAACATAGAATAATTCTTAGTGAATCTCCCACTAGGACACATCACAAAATACCTTCCCTCTTGCTTAGGGATGCCTAACAAATATTACAGGGAGGAATATGGGTTGTATTGGGAGAGTATATTTCTTTCTCAATATCCTCTTATAAAACTTCATTCCAATGTGAAAAAAAATGATTTTACTTATTTTTCCTTCAAGTTACTTCCAAAGTGAACTCTTAAACTATGGCAGAATGGTGGATGTACTCAGAACACTAACACATATAGTAAGTGATCAACTTCTTTGAAAGTCTATCCTATGAAATGTACACTTACATCCATCCATCCTTCTTTCTTTCTTTCTTTCTTTCTTTGTACCAGGGAGTGAACCCAAGGGTGTTTAAATTCCAATGAGCCACACCCCACAGCCATATATATATAAATTAATTAATTTAGAGACAAAGTCTTGCTGAATTGCTGAGAGCCTCACTAAGTTGCTAAGTCTGACTTTAAACTCGCAATCCTCCTGCCTCAGCTTCCTGAGATGCTGGGATTAGAGATGTGTGCCACCATGCTTGGCTACACCTTTTAAAAAAAAATGATTTGCAACTGAAATGTATGTGACCTATCCATAATTCAAAGCTACCTCTAAAGTTTGTTGTCTCAAGTTCATTAGTATACTATAATTTTGTATTTACAAGATAGCCCTGTTATTATACCTTTCCATTTCTATATTTTAAAAAATACTGATGATAAAAGATGTTTGGCAGATTGCTTTGCTATAAGGAGAAGAAAGAGAAACAAGAACATGACAGGATAAAAGGCAAGAATAAATATGTGCCTACAATATTTGTTGAATGAGAATCTCCTTAAGCATTTCCTACAGCTGGAAGCCTCTGGGGAAATACATAATCTTTGGAGGTAGGGAGACTTGCTCATATGTATGTGGATATTGTCACCTCACAGTAGGGACTTATAATAAATTTCTGACAGTTTTGAAATCTAGCAAAGTCTAAGACAAAACACAATTATTCTGACACAATAGATATTAACACTGGAAATCCAAATACTACATCTGCATGGTTTTCAAACTGTTTTCAGGATTGACCAAATCAGATTCTCATGCTGCATTTTTTATTCAACCTTTTATTCTTGAACTCAGACAGAAAGAAAGAGCAAACCAAAAGATAACTGATCATTTTCTTGTTAGTGGTTATCTCTCAGTCCCCAAGGATCCATGGCAAAGGAAGTGTTGCTCACAGTTGGTCTTCATTTAAGTAAAAATCCCATTAAACTATTTTCCAATTTCTATGGAGGGACATACCTAATGATTATTAATGTTCTCTCTGGTGATGTTTATGGATGCAGAACCAGGAAACAATTTGTCTCAATAAAGGAGACTAAGACTCTGGATGATATTTGGGTATCTAAATATTTAAAATACCTAATTGCTTATCTCCAAGTATATTTTCTCCCTTTAGGGAGACTGCACAGTATCATGCTGAGTTACTGAATAGTATATGATTTAATATTTGGATATGAATTATAAAATGTAAAAGATAAGGCAAAGGTATGTATATTTGATAAGAAAAGCTACGAAAATAAAAAAAAAAAACCAGAAACAGAATGTTGAATAATTGAAAATTGAGAGGAAATTAATTTATTAAGCTTTGTTATTGAAAAATGTATTCAAATGCATTATTATGGGAATTATATAAAGCTATCCTTTCTCTTTGATGACTTTCTTTTTGCTATTTCCATAAAGTAATATTTTCAAAAATCATTTATAATGTAAATAATTCCACAGGGGTGAAGCATAGAATGTTGAGATGAGTATGTTGTGACTCTTTTGAGTGTTGTAAAGTTTTGAGAATAGCCCCAAATCATTTTGTTGTCTTATTCTTCTGTTTTTTTGTTTTCTCATGAAAATCAAGTTTATTCATGCTAAGTGAATAAGACACTGAAAGACAAATTCCCATATTTTTTCTCATATGTGCAAATAAACACACACATACAAAACAAAAAAAAAAAGCCCTAAAGATGACCTGAAAGTAAAAGATAGGCTCTGAGAGTCTGGGAAGGGGTCAGGAGCACACGGGGGCAGAAACTGGGGAAGGACAGGGTAAGAAAAGAAACTGGATGTGATCAAAGCTCAATATGTACATGTATGAAAATGTGTTAATAATTATAATATTTAAAAAGAAAAAAGACCGGGCTGGGGTTGTGGCTCAGTGGTAGCGTGCTTACCTAGCATGCGTGAGGCTCTAGGTTAGATTCTCAGCACCACATACAAACAAACAAACAAATAAATAATAAAGCTCAATCAACAACTAAAAAAAAACCTATTTTTTAAAAAATTAAGAAAAGAAAAAGAAAAAAGTAAATTTTACCACTCATATCTGAGGATAATGCATAATAAAGAAATGTGCTCATCAAGGTGAAAAATTATGAAGTATAAAAAAAACTGGAAATTTTGTAAATTGATGAACAAATGAATGTGAATTTCAATTCATTTGATTCTGATTCAAGAAATGTTTATTGTATGTATTTGTATAAATATAATTGGTAGACTGCTAATATATATATATATATATATATATATATATATATATATTTAAATTAGCAAAAACTAAAATCTCCCTCTAAATACACTTCCTGACTGATTTACTGTCACAATATAAATGCCAAAATGTAATGGGTGATTCAAATTTCACTGATATAATATGACATCTGACAGTTAATAATGGGTTCCTGAAACTGCTGCTAAAATATAATATGCAGTACAAATTTAGCATGGCTAAATTCAATACTAGTCTATGAAGATAACAGTACAACTGGGCAAATTAGGTAATTTTACCATGACAAAAATACTATAATTAGTTTTATAATTACATTTATTTACATGGTGAATTTTGATAATACTGACTAACTCATTTTCAAGTCATCATCAAAATTTTATAGAAGATAATATACAATTAAAGGGAATACTAGAATCATTTATAATTGTTGACTGTGAGTTTCATGTTTTCTAACAAATGCATTTGATGTACCTTCCTTTTACATGTTTTCAAAAACTATTTGAGGAATACTAACCTTATACAAAAATATTATTCAGGACTTTGGGCACAGAAATATGTTGTGTGCTCTGTTGAAGGTATTTTTAAGATTTCCCTGCCCATGTTATGTGACAATAATATCATAGACATAAGCCCAGATAATAAGGACCAAAGATGAAAACTGGACATGTGAAATATACTTGTGAAATAATCTTGGTGGTAAGCACAAAGATTAAGAGACATATGATATAAAAGGCACAACAAGAGAATATTGAATTCTATTTGGGAAAATATTCTCAAGAGTAAGTTGGGAAAAATAAATTGCATATTTTTCTGATATGGTTGTGTTTAAGAAATATATAAACTAGCATAGTACTTATACACTCAAAAGCTATACTAAAAACCTCTACCCAATAAAGTAATACAAGCAGATATGCTATGTTGTAGAAAAATAAAAGGTATCATTAAATAATTCTGGCTCAATGGACTATATACTGAATTTAGATTCAATCATACCATGAAATATTTTATTCATGAGTTTACTTGATGAATATAACCACAAATTATGTGCCATTTCTAGGTCTAATCTGCAACTGTCAGTCATGGTTCAAGCTACCTATACTAAGAGGTCCCTTCACTACTATTCCTAATCTCTTAATTAAAGTCTGAACCTTTGAAGAAGACATTTTTAAAGTGACAAAGTTAATGCTGAGTTTAACAACTAACAGCAGTAAACATTAATGAGGAGTTTTCATGGTGTCCTTGGACTAAGAGCCTTAATCATCATCATAACAGACATTGATTGAAAACCAACAATGGGCCAGATGCTGCATTCATTGTTTACTTTATGTTTACAACCCTCTAGGGAAGGAAGTAGATGTGTCTTCCTCATTTCTCTTTAAAGAGAGTTCAGATAAATTATGTAAGGTTTTATTGTTAGAAAAACAAGAAGAGATTTGGACATAGTTTTAGGACTGCAAAGAATAGAACTTTCCATTCCTTTCCTGCCTGTCTTTTCCATTATCTTTCCTGTTAATTCACTGTATTCTAACTGAAATACTTCCCAAAATGACAATATTCATGCGGAAAACCTAGGACTTATCCTCCATATTGACATGTGTAGCTTTTATATAAGAACTGTTATGTATCTGACTGACCCTTGGTTGCTCAAGTATTTGTTCACTTTAATTTTAAAACTCTTATAAACAACCTCCTGCCCTTACACAAAAACATGCACAAAGCCCTGTCATCCTTTCTTACTGTTTCACCAGAGTTTCTTCAGTAAATGCAAGACTGGTGACAGACTAATGACACGAAAGTATTTGGGGAAGGAAGGAAAAAGAGAAAAGAAAGTGAGGCTGGGGCTACTGAGAGTGACTGAAGTCCAGTTAACACCATTCTTTTTGATTTTTCTATACACATAGAAGAGATTGAACGCAAACAATAAGAACAGCAAAAGGATCATGATGGTGTGCTGTTGTTACTCATTGCTTCACATGGATTTTTGTGGTGTTTTTCTAATTCATCCTTCTGAGTCAGAATGAGACTGACTTTAGTCCCTGAGGCCATACTATAGCCAGAGTGGTCATCTATCATGCAGGTATACCCATGCCACTATCAGCTGAACATTTTTATTATTTACATTAGTCAAATGAGACACATCTTAATCTGCCTTCATACAACTTTCTAAATCTCCTTCTTCCACGCATACAAAATAAAACCTATTTTCCAGTCAGTTATATTTAATTTAGTTTTTCGTTTCACATCTCTTTTATATATTGCCCCCAATTTCACTGCATGGCAAACTTCTATTCTTCCTTCTAGATACAACTTAAAGTTTATCTCAATTTAATGCTTCCTCCAAGCCATCCCATACAGAATATGTGACACCCTTTCAGCCCTTTCCTAGAGAATATTTTGAAACTGCATTCTGACTATTTAAAAATGTCTATTACAAGACTTTGTATTCTGGTAGAAACATATCTTATTCAGTACCAGATAATATAGATTCCCAATAAAAGATATGTGATCAAAATAAAAAAGTATGACCAAAATCTGAAGGCAGTGTCAAAATTAGTGAAGTATTGATGTTTCAAATATTTGACTTAATGAGGGTGAAATATAGCTTCTACTATGTGCTACAACTGTTTTCATATAGGAATTGCGCATGTTAGTTATGATCATTGAGTTAATGAATCAACTCACAACAGAAAAAGGAATCTAATTCTTATTTTCCCCTAGAATTTTGACATACCTTTTTAAATTTTAAATTCAATTAATAAAGCTTTAGGTAATTTGTCCATATCTGGCTGCACCTACATTCATGCTTATTATCTACCATACACATGATGTTTGGAGGAGCTTTTCCTATGTAGGAATTCTCCATAAAGCCATCTTGGGGAAAAAAATTGCATGTCAAATTAAAAATTCCAAACAGCATGAATAAAAGTTTAGTAAAAAAATTTTATGGCCTTTTAAAATCAAATCTTCTATCCATATTCATTCTCTTAAAATATTATTTCTCATTTTCTTTATATTATCTTGTTTGGTGAGGCAAATGAAATACACAAATGTATGATGTTTGAATAGTTATAGACCAAATTTCATAGAATTCAACTTGGAAGTCTTTAACAGTAAACCCAAAATATGTATCCTATAAGTTACATATGATAGCACAAAATATTTACAATTCTAGTTTATAAAGAAATTTGGACACTAGATCACAGTACCTGTTGTGTTTGAGTCTGTGAATATTTACTCATCTCATGACTATTCTCTTCAACAGGATTCTCAGTTAAATGAACTGCATGGCCATTTGAAATCTTATCAGTTACAGATTTTGGATTTGAAAATGGATGATTTTCCAGAGAAAGAAAACGAATTTTTGCACAAAACCACATTCTGAATTCATCCTTAGAAAAAAGGGGAAAAAGAGTCAATTATGTATATTGTATGACTGCTGTGTTTTTAATTTCCATTTTGTACATACTTACTCACCTCTAATTAAGAAAGCATAATTTCTCCTCCTGCTTCCCCAACCCAAATGGTCCCAACCCCATGCTGGGGATTGAACCCAGAGCTGTTTAAACATTGAGCAATATCCCCAGGCTTTTTTTTTTATCTGTCTGTCTGTTTCTTTCTTTCATTACTTATTATTTATTGGTACTAGGGATAGAACCCAGGGATGTTTTACTGAGCTATATCCCCAGTTCTTTTTATTTGAGATGGGGGTCTTACTAAGTTTCTGAAAGTCTAACTAAATTCCTGAGGCTGCCCTGAAACTTGCAATCCTCCTGCCTCAGCCTCCCAAGTTGCCAGGATTATGTGCATGCACCATGGTACCTGGCAAAAAAAAACATAATTTCCTGTTCACTAAATGTTAAACTACAAGAAGATGAATAAATTCAAACATGAAGTATAAAAAAAATAAACAGTTAAATTCAAACACTTTGAGCAGTTTTTTTCTTTCTTTCTTTTTTTTTTTTTTTTTAAGGTTCATGTAGTTTTTGGCTTACTAAGGTTCTTCCTTAGTAAAAAACTGTGGCAACAGGTAATTGATACAAAACTTATTCAAGATTTGCTTCTTTTGGGGGGAACATGAGGATTTCATCCTTTGGCTTTGGGGATACTTTCTTTTCTTTTCTTTTCTTTTTTGACCAGTTTGATAATATGCTTATGAAGTCAGGGATACTTTGAGCAAGCCAGGAATGGTAGCACAAGCCAGTAATTCCAGTGTCTCAAGAGGCTGATGCATGAGGATCACAAGTTCAAAGTCAGCCTCAGCAACTTAGTGAGGTCCTAAGCAACTTAATGAGATCTTGTCTCTAAAGAAAATATTTAAAAAGGGCTGTGGATATCGCTTTGCACCCTGGGTTCAATCTCTGGCACACACACACACACACGCAAAAGATAAAGAAAGAAAGAAATACATTGAACAATACTACCTGTTAGTAATGGTTAGAAGTGGTTGAATGGATGATGGCAACTGATAGGCTAATTTGTTTTTACCACATTAGAGATATATGATACTACTTACTTATGAATAATTATAAAGAGATAGATTCTTTTTTAAAATTTATGTTTATAATCTCAATATGAAGATAGATGCATTTTGAAGTTACCTTTAAAAATTATAAAAATGACTTGTTATCCTTTTTACCATTTTTTGTGGGGGGAGGGGAGGATTTAAGAGAAATTAAGAAAAAAAAATCAAGCCAACCTAACCTGTGTTTGATTAGAAAGTGGTTCTTTTTTTTTTTTATTTGTAAGCCAAAAACTTTCATGTGACAGTCTCTTTTGTTCTAATTATTTGATGTGAAATGTTGCTATAATATCTATAAAAATGTTAGAAAATAAAGATTAAATTACAGGAAGAATGCCATTTTATACATTTTAAATATGCAAAAGTGAGTTTCTCTCACCACTTCATTCTACATTTTAAGTATAAAATCTCCAGCTTCAAGGAACAGTGAATGTCAAATAGTCCAATTTATCTTTTAATATGAGAAATGCATTTCTAAGGAAAAGAAGCTCATTACTTATCAATTCAACCTGTTCCATTGTGCAGCAGTTCTTCCATGCTTTAAAGATTTTTTTTCTCTTAATGTGTCAGGCTTTTCTCCTCATCTCTATACACTGTGGAAGCGAATGCCATAGATTTGCTCACTCCAATTCTGCAAGATAATCTTTTAGATAGTGAAGATACACAGAACAAACATAGCTCCTCCTGAACTCCCACATCTGGCTTCCCAGGGCTTCTTGTTTTCTGAATACACCTGGATGCCACAGGAAATGATGCCCAATTGCTTCTAAGTCTTTCTACTTTATATACAGTCCACTACGGCAATGCCTATTTGAAACTTTAATGCCAAGAAGTGAATTGAAAAACACTCTGCATATAACCTGATCAGCCTAAAAATTCATTTGGGCACTCACATAATTAAATTCTTTAACACAGAACCTGAACATTTCTTAGTCTGGTATAAGACAACATTACCATTTTAAATGACAAGGTAAACCTCCTGGATTCCAATAGATTATAATCAATTTAATCCTCCAGATCTTATCATTTTTTTCACTAAGAATCTAGGTCAAATGATTTTCTATTTATATTTCTCCTTGGCTTTAACTTGTATGCTGAACAATAACATAAAACTATTTCATAAAACTGTTTTTTCAAAAATTCTAGACGCTTTAAGATTTTTCTTTACCCTGATTCTGTCATCCACCTTGTAGACGCCACTTCACACTACATACAGATAAGATAAACATATTTTGTGGATCTTTACCAAAGTCAGTAATAAAAATGAGACATGACGACAGTGGAAATGGGGGTAACACTGTGTTCCATGATAATAAATTTGTATATAACTCCTTTCACTTTATACTGCTATAAATATGGTGATAATTATAATATTATAAAGCTAAGAGAAGTAAATGAGATCAGTGACGATACATAGGGAATATCTGGCTTAGGGTAGGTGCTCAGCAGAACATATTGGTCTAATTGTTTTGAGGCTACAATAGTGAATAAGACTCATTTAACTAGATAAGATTCATTAAACTGTACATCTGAAGGCTTGAAGGTTTCCCTAGGTATTAAATTCTCTCTAATAAAATTGCTAAAGTATTTCAAATTTTTAAAGCTCATTGAATTATTCTTTTTGTATTAGAGTTTTAGAGCTAAGTAGGCAGACAATAGATTGTATATGCAAAAACATCTACCTGTATTTATGTGCCTGTGAGAGAGAGAATGGCCAGGGGTGGGAGGAGACTGATAGAATTTCTAAGAATTCTGTTATTTTGTGGGCAGTGATGTTTGATTCATAAATACATGAAATATAAAAATAAAATTAGCTTCAAGCACTAACTAACATCTATCATACCCCCTACATAGGCAATATCAACTTCTCCCCTAAAGGAACTAGTCTTGATTATAAAATTTTTTTCAAATACAATGCCAGCAGCATTCAAACAGCAAGATGACTTTGACAATTTAAGAACCATAATTCAAACACATGGCACATGAAAGAGGGATTACAATATCACAACCCACTGTTTAAAAATCTGGTTACTGAACTCTGCATACATGGGGGCAAAAAAATAATTTCATATTTGATATAGATCTGCATACATCTTCTTAAAAATTATTTTGGAACAATCAAGCATATATTATGCTTGCATTCCCATGAACTGCAGTAGGAGATTATGCACTCTGGTGCTTAGTAAACACCAACCCATGTGGGTCTCCTTGAAAGCACATGATGCCAGATACATCAAGCACATAAAGTACAGGGTAAGAAGCTGCTTTGAGCATTTTCCATTTTTTTTTTTTCTACATGAGAGAGTTTGGGCAGTTTCCATTCCAGAGTCTATTTCAGTGAAAAGAACTGCACTATGTATTTTTAAATGTCAACCAGGGAAAAGTTCCCACTTACCATAAGAATCACGTTTTACCCTGTCTTTTCTTATATAATCCCATATGTTTGTTATCTAGACTCAAAAAAGTAGAATTTCTAATTTATTTGAAATTTGGTGTTAAGAGTTTAAAAAAGCTCTGTAGAGAGTTTAAGGGCCAATGACCCCTTAATATTTGTTTATACTAGAATCCATAGGTTATACAGTTATGGAATAATTCAGGGGACCTAGGGTATATACATTAATTCTCCCAAATATTGTACCATAAACACGTTATGTATCAGGCAGTGTGCCAGGCCCTAAAGTTCTTTCTTTCTACTGAAAGGCAGCCAATTTTAATATCTCTATTTTTTATAAAAGGTTGAGTTTGGATTTAAAATTAGATATTGTTAACCACCAAAACAATGCATCAAGGCATTAAATGTGTTCATTGTAAACTCAGTTATTCTGTCTTGCCATCACATGAATGATAATGACTTGATAAATGACTCGTGTGAGTTATCACAGTGCTCAGTAGTTGATAAAGTAATTCACCAAAATATTGCCAGAACTTACTTAAACCAATGACCAGAACTGATTAGACTTTGTTCTGTGAATTAAAGTGAATACTATACATCAAGAATTTGAGAGTAAGGAAATAAAAAAAAAATTACTCAATTATTGTGCATCTGTCTTTTTCAGTATAAAAATAAGGCCATAACTACAGACCAGACTTTCAGTTATTGCCAATTAAAAATGGAAGCATTGCATAACAAATAACCTTGCCTTAGAAGAAGGGGAAAGGCACAGAGCATCAAGTTTCATACTGCTAATTTAAATTTTATTTCTTGACTCTAAATTAAAATACAATTCTTCAGTTTATGTCAGTGAAGACACTGATGAAACTTAATTTTTAGAAGGGTGAATTTTGAGATGTCATTTTCTCTCGTGTTTGATATTACTTAATTTTTGTTTCTGTCCTATAGTCATGGTCATTATAGATGATTTCAGGTTAAGTGATGTGTCTAAGATTAATTAGCAGTTAAATTAAAAATAAATAATGATACCTAGGCAGAAGGATCCCAAATTTGAGGTCAGCTTCAGCAACCTAATGAGGTCCCATTTCAAACTAAAAATAAGAAGGCCTGGGTATATAGGTCAGTGATAGAGTGATATTGAGTTCACTGTAAGTAAGTAAATAAATAAATATAATGATTACAGGTATTACTATATAATATAGGTATTATTATATATAATATGTACATATTATATATAATATAGGTATTAATATGTAAATTATTTATATAGTGACATCTTCCAAAACAATGTCTTGAAGTTATTTGTCGTCAGAAACTATCCTGAAATTCAGACAGTTTTCAACACTTGATAATGGACCCTCTTACATACTATGGTAGTTATTATATCTATATATAAAAATAATAATAACTTACAGATCCAATTGAGTAGTTTCAATAAAACAATTTATATGAAAAACCTTAGCCAAATTTTAAAAAAT